TTTAACTTTTGTTTTTAAAATTTTGGGTACCAAATTTTCTTCCTTTCTCCCTTCCCACCCACCCTTTTTGAGAAGGCAAGCAACTTGATACAAGTTATACATGTGTAGTCAAGCAGAACATTTCCATAGTAGTCATGTTGTGAAAAACTAAGTATATTTCCCTTCATCCTCTCCCACTCCCCATTTATTCTATTTTCTCTTTTGACCCTGTCCTTCCTTAGAAGTGTCTGCTTTTGATTACCCCTTTTCCCAGTCTGCCCTCCCCTCTATCATCCTTCTGCTCTCTTGTCCCCTTCCACCCCATTTTCTGTAGGGTAAGATAGATTTCCATACCCAATTGAATGTGTATGTTATTCTCTCCTTAGCCAAATCCTATGAGAATAAAATTCACTCATTCCCTCTCACCTTCCCACTGTTTCCTCTCCACTGTAAAAGCCTTTTCTTGTCTGTTTTATGTGAGATAATTTATCCCATTCTACCTCTCCCTTTCTCTTTCTCCCAGTATAATCCTCTCTCACCCCTTAATTTTATTCTCCAGATATCACTCCTTCATCTTCAACTCACCCTGTGTGCTCTATCTATCTATCTGTCTATCTATCTACATACATATAATTTTTTCCTCCAACTACTCTAATACTGACAAAGGACTCATGAGTTACAGTTCAACTTTAATAAGTCTCTTATGATTTCTCTTTCATGTTTACCTCTTCCTGTTTCTCTTGAATCTTGTATCTGAAAGTCAAATTTTCTATTCAGCTTTGGTCTTTTCATTAAGAATGCTTGAAAGTACTCTATTTCACTGAATGTCCATTTTTTCCCCTGAAGGATTATGCTCAGTTTTGCTGGTTAAGTGATTCTTGGTTGTAATCCTATCTCCTTTGCCCTCTGGAATATTCTATTCCAAGCCCTGTGGTCCCTTAATGTTGAAGCTGCTAAATCTTGTGTTATCCTGATTGTGTTTCGACAATACTTGAATTGTTTCTTTCTGGCTGCTTGCAATATTTTCCCCTTGAGCTGGGAACTCTGGAATTTGACTACAATATTCCTAGGTGTTTTCCTTTGGGGATCTTTTTCAGGAGATGATTGGTGGATTCTTTCCATTTCTGTTTTGCCCTCTGGTTCTAAAATATCAGGGCAGTTTTCCTTAATAATTTCTTGAAAGACGATGTCTAGGCTCTTTTTTTGATCATGGCTTTCAGATAGTCCAATAATTTTTGAATTCTTTCTCCTGGATCTATTTTCCAGGTCAGTTGTTTTTCCAATGAGATATTTCACATTGTTTTCTAATTTTTCATTATTTTGGATTTGTTTTACAGTATCTTGATTTCTCATAAAGTCACTAGCTTCTGATTGCTGCATTCTAATTTTTAAGGAAGTATTTTCTTCAGTAAGCTTTTGGACTTCATTTTCCATTTGGCCAGTTTTGCTTTTGAAGGCATTCTTTTCCTCATTGGCTTTTTGGACCTCTTTTTCCATTTGGGTTAGGCTATTTTTTAAGGTGTTATTTTCTTCAGTATTTTTTTGGGTCTCCTTTAGAAAGCTGTTGACTTGTTTTTCATGATTTTCTTGTATCACTCTCAGTTTTTCTTCTACTTCTCTTATTTGCTTCTCAGAATCCTTTTTGAGCTCTTCTATGGCCTGGGACCAATTCATATTTTTCTTGGAGGCTCTGGATGTAGGAGCTTTGACTCTATTGTCTTCTTCTGGTTGTATGTTTTGATCTTCTTTGTTATTAAAGAAAGATTCTATGGTCTGATTCTTTTTTCGCTGCTTCCTCATGATCCCAGCCAATTACTTGAGTTATAAACTGTTTGTTAAGGTAGGAGTCTGCTTCCAGTGTGGAGAATGTACTCTCCTAAGCCTAATGGGTTTTGTGCAGTTATTTTTAGAGATACTTCTAGGGACCTGAAAATTTTCAGTTCTTCTAAGGTGCTGTGATTAAGGGCGAGGTGTTTACTCCTTTCCTGGCCTGTGCTCTGTTCTATGAGTGACCACAATCACTCTTTTCTATCTTGGAACTGTGAGGAGGATTCTTTCTGCACAGGCCCTCTAAGCTCCACCACACCAGTGGTCCTCCTAGCCCCAGGACTGCCACCTAGAACTGACCTAGATCCAAGCACAGGCAAAACAAGAGATTCCTGAAATCTTCCTCTGATTAGCCACTCAATTCCCCCTCAGTCTATGGACCAGAAGCTCTGTCTGCCGCCCCGGGGCCGAGCTCAGGGAATGGTGCTCGAAATTTGTTTCAATCTGTCTTTTTGTGGGTTCTGCTGCTTTAGAATTTGTTTAGAGCCATTTTTCACAGGTATTTGGAGGGGTTTGGGGAAGAGCTCAAGCAAGTCACTGCTTTCACTCTGCCATCTTGGCTCCTCCTCCCTATTTTTATTTTTTACCTGACCTTGGAGTCTGGGACTGACACATGTGAGCTTATTTGACTCTGAGCAAATCAGTTAACCTTTCTGGACCCTAAGCAACTATGACTGTAAATTGCCCAAAGAGGAGAACTGAAATGATAGAGAGAACTAGGGTAGAGGTAAGTATGTTCCTGGAAGGTAGACTGATCACCCTATTTCACCCTTATCTCAGTCAATAAACATTTATTAAACACCTACTGTAGAGCACTGGGCCTAGAATCAGAAAGACCAGAGTTCAAATGTGACCTCAGACACTTACTAGTTGTATGAACCTGGGCGAGTCATTTATTTATTTATTTATTGGTTTTTGTTAGGCAATGGGGTTAAGTGACTTGCCCAAGGTCACACAGCTAGTAAGTGTTATGTGTCTGAGGCCAGATTTGAACTTAGATCCTCCTGACTCCAAGGCCAGAGCTCTATCCACTGCACCACCTAGCTGCCCCTAGTACCTGTCTCCCAGGGTTGTTTTATTTATTTTTTTTGTGAGGCAGTTGGAGTTAAGTGACTTGCCCAGGGTCACACAGCTACTATCATGTGTCTGAGGCCAGATTTGAACTTGGGTCCTCTTGACTTCAGGGCCAGTGCTCTATCCATTGCACCATTTAGCTGCCCTGAGTCATTTAACCCCTGCTTGCACAAAACTGGAGAAGGAAATAGGAAACCACTCCAGTTATCTTTGTCACAGGGTAACAAAAAGTCAGACGTGACCAAGGACTGAACAAATATGCCAAGCACAATGCTAAGCTCTTAGACTATTGCAGTAGCTTTTTGGTCAGAAGTAATTTTCCTAGAGAACAGGTCTGACTGTGTCACCTCCTCAAATTCTTATCGTATGTTCTTTTATCCCAGGATCAAATATAAATTCTTCTGTTTGGTATTTACATCTCTTCACAACTTGGTCTTGTCCAACCTTTTCAGTCATTGTTCCTTTTCATATGCTCTGTAGCCCCACCAAAACGGCCTTATTCCATCTTCTAAATCTCTGCCTTTGCACTGACTGTTACCTATGCTTGGAATGAACTCCCTCCTCACTTCTACTTTTTGGGATTCCTGGTTTCCTTCAAGGCAATTCAAACTTCACCTTTTGATTGAGGTCTTTTCTGATTTTACCTTACCCCCTTGGCCTCTCTCTTCTCCTTTTTCTCCAAACTTTCTTTTTAATCTGTTTTTGTATACATCTGTATTTTGAGTTGTGTCCCCAACTCAAATATAAACTACTTAAGGGCAAGGACAGTTTCACTTTTGTCTTTGTAATCCCCAGCACCTACTACAATATTATTATTATTTATTAAGCACATGGTAGGTGCTTAATAAATGCTTATTGATAAGACTGTTACTTTTGGAAGGGTCCTTAGAGATCTAGTTCTTATTTGTAAGATGAACAAACAGATTTAGAGATATGTAATAACTTGGACCAAGTCATAGGGCTCGTTAATTTTTCAGGGTTAGGACTGGAAAACCTAAGTCTCCTGATTCTTAATTTAGTGTTCTTTCCACTGTCAATCAGTTAACATTTACTGTTGTTAAGTCACGTCCAACTCTTCATGATCCCTTTTGGGGTTTTCTTAGCAAAGATACTGAAGTGGTTTGCCATTTCCTTCTCCAGTTCATTTTACAGATGAGGAAACTGAGGCAAACGGGGAAAATGACTTGCCCAGGGTCATCACATGCTGGTTAGTGTTGGAGATCACATTTGAACTCATGTCTTCCTGACTCCAGGCTGGGTGCACTATCCACTTGGAAACTTAGCTGCCCACAAACATTTATTAAGTGCAAAAGCCTACTATTCAGTAGGCACTGGGTTAGGTGCTGAGGATTCAAATACAAAAAAGTAAAGCCTCTGCTTTTAGCTTAAGATCACTCTCCCAACCTTCTTTGTTTCTTTGTCCCAGATGTCTGAATTCTTTTTTGAAACTTTGGATTTTATTATTTGTGTAGGGCAGTCAAGTGTTAAAAGTACTTGAAAATATATTTAGAGGGAGATCTTTTAATATATGATTATCTGATAAAGTACATTTCTTGTAAAATCCTTTTTTTTTGCACAAGGTTAAGGCAGAATCTTATTCTTGTGCTAGCAGGTTACTACAAAGTGAATGATGGTTTACTTAAAAGTGCCTTTTTTTATAATATGATATAATGGTATGGTAGAAAGCACTGAATTTGAGTTTCAGCTTTGCCATTTAGTACTTTTGCGACCTTGATGGAGTTATTTGACATTTCTGGGTCTACTTCCTCATTTGAAAAGAGGGTTGGACTAGATTCGTGGTTCTTAACTGGACTTGGAATCAGGGAAACTTCATGAGCTCAAATCTAGCCTCAGACATTTACTTGCCAAGATCTCAGGTTAAGAAGCCTTGCACTAGATGACCTCTTAAAGGCTACTACTAGTTATAAATATTTGATCCAAGGTATTTCAGAGTTAATGAGTTATGTTCTGTAGTAATTACATATGCAAAAATAACCGCTATTCAAGAAGATAAGGTACAATACATAACATTCATAGGAGAACATTTATATGAAAATATTAGCTTAAGCTTAAAGGGACTGACAAACCTTGAAAAATACATAAGTTAAAAATTAGGACTGAAAGCTGTATTTATTACTCTATATAAATTTACATACACATATAACACATATATGCTATAATCACATGCTAGTATAAGTTTTTGCATTTTTTAACCATGGTTTGTTACAGAATTAATTTTACAAGCATAGATACATGCTACAGAATTTCAGGTTTCAGTTTGTTTTCCAGTAACTTCAAAATTTCAAAAAAATTCCAAATTTCCAGTATTGTACTGGCAGGTTGGTAGATGTAGAGATTATTTTCCCACAATAAAATATATTTATTCTTTTAAGATACAGCTGTTCCATACTTGTATCAAAGGACCAACTTATCCACCATTTTATGCTTCCACATTAGAGAGGGAGAAGATGTGATATTAGAAAACTACTTTCTAAGGCTAAAACACGGTCCTCAGGTTATCTCGTTTCTCTTCCACTTCTCATCAGATTAAAAATTTGTATTTTGTTTAACATTGTCAAAACAGGATGCATAATGATTTCTTCACCTGTATGTTTCTAAACCAAGAATATATTATTAGTGGAAAAAGAGCTACTGTCATATAGCTTAAGATACTGGATGTTATTTAAATATGACTTAGCTTGGGACTTTTAAAGATGCTTGAATACAGATGTATATGTAGTTTTTCCAGTGCAGATTACAAATAGCAAACTACATTATCCTGAACACACCATTAAGTAAAACATTATGACATTTAGAAAAACTATTACCCTGAAGAGAGTGTTTGTGAAATCAATGATTATCTCTTTATATGTTCAGATTCTGTTTTTGTTCAGAAAGTTCCTTTACTAATTTTTCTAAGGAGAAGAGATGCTCATCTGCATCTTCTGGCACAAGATTCCTGATGGAATTTGCAAGTTCAAAGAGATATTCGGTATTTCTTCCACTAGGACCAACAGCACTTAAAATCTGTTTAGCAATGTCTTCCAGAGGGGCTGGACCAAGATAGTTAGGATTATCACATGTTCCAATATATAATAGCACACTGAATGGTTTCAGAGTGTGGTCTTTTGGAGAGAAAATGACTGTTGTTGTCCTGTAGCCCTCTTTCTCTCTGAAATCCAGATAAGCTTTCACTTCCTCTTCTTTTCCTGCTGGTAGTTGGTATGCAACACCCCATACACAACCCTGCAGAAGAATAAAGGTGTGTAAATCCATCTTACACTTTAAAAGATGTGTAAAATATTTATAAAAGATGGGGAAGTGTTATATCTAGAGTGTTTTTGAAAATTTTAAATCAGCAGACTTAAGTGACACCTGTAACTCCTGTTATAATTCTCTTTAGCTATTTGCACAGTTGGGAAATAGCCTATGCTATTTTTTTTTTCTCCTGCTCTAATCTGGGATTGAAAAAGAGGGTCCAGTCACATAGCCAGAGTAAGTGATAACCAAACAACAGCTCATGTGTTATTACACTGGTATCATCATGATGTCAAAAGGCACCAGCATGCTGGTTGGACTCCATTGGTGAATTTACAGTAGGACATGGATGAGTCATATGAGATGGACAGACATGGGTAGGAAATATCCAAATCAGTGGGATCATAGCTTCACTGGAGCATTTTACATTTATTCTTACTTTGTATTTAGTGGGGCTGAAATTAAAGTGAACACACACACACACACACACATGTATGTGTGCATATATATATAAAATATACACATACATATACATGTATATGTATACACAAACATAGAATATTTCTCTCCACTATGTCACTTCTCAAAAATAAAAGATTCGTATGCAACATGGGAACCAACCATTTGGTAAATTTTTTCTTTTGCCTAAGGTTTTCAAGAGTTCTTTGCAGTTTTCAATAAGAGTGCTTACAAGTGAAGGGAATATCTTTAAAAAAAAAAAAAGCTGTATCTTATTCTAGAATAATAGTCATCATTTTATTTTAAAATAAAACTTTTTGGCAGCTTTTATTCATTTTTATATAAAGATTAAGGCATAAAAAAACAAAAATTAAAACTGAAGCAGTAACTTCCAACACTGGACTTTTGTTTCAGTGGACATAGAGGTAGGATTTTTTCTTTTCTTTTCTTGTGTTTATTTAAAGAAAAAGGTAAAACATATGTTAGGTACTTGACTAAGAATGTTGTCACAAAAGTGGAAGCCATTTCATAACTATAAACCTAATGGAAAGCCTTTAATCATTAAACTCTGGGTTGCTAATTATCTTTTTGAATAGCTAAATTGATTTAAGTGGTTTACAAAATGAAGTCTAATTTGTTAATTGTTTAGTTTGGGGCTTATATCTACATATTTTACATATTACATATTTTAAGTCTTTACCACATAAAAATATGCATCAGGAAAGCATTTCCTAATTTATAGCATTGACTTGTTCATATTATGAAGCATGATGATGCATTTGCTTTGCTTGTAAGCCTCATTTTAAAAAAATTAACTCTTTGATCTTCTTTTTTGGAAAACTTTGTGAAATTAACTGTTAATCCTCCTCCCCAAACTGCTAAGTATTAAATACCTGAGAAACTGAGGAATATGAACCACAAAAACCTATGTGGAGTTGTGAACAAAACATTGTTCTTAGTGGTGTTAATTAAATTCAATCAATAATAGAAAGTAGAATTGCTGGAGAGGTTATTAGTCTAATGATTAGATTATCTTTGCAAATGGGGAATGACTTTTAAGATTGCATCAATTAATTATTAACTGTTTAGCACCAGGAAGTTATGGTAGTAAAAATGAGCTTCCTTTAAACATCAGGAGGCTGGCACCCAGTTGATATTCTGTAACTGATAGATTTATGGAAATGCAGAAATTTATTATCTAGTAAAAAATCTGTACAATGATAATGGTAGTCAGTTTGAGACATCACATGGGCATAATAGGGATAGGGGCCAGCCTTAGAGACAGGAATATATACACATACACACACCGGTGTATATATGTATATATACATGTGTGACAGTAGGCTGATCTGCACTGTAGAAAGTTCCTCATACATCACAGGTCTGCCCCCACCTCTACAAAAAAGTCTTTAACATTGGTTTTATGACCTGAGTGTCTCCACTTAATTTCAAGGAATGCTGTAAGATTTTTCAAATACAGTTTTTTTTTTAATGTGCCTCAGTGCTTTATTTCATTTTGTTATTTACACCATGTCTGCCTCTATACAGCTCTTTGTCACCTGCAAACCTGACAATCAAAAAGATGTTTTAACATTAAAAAAGCTGGGAATCCTAGAACTAAGATAGCTATGCATTTTCCTTCTATTATGCTACCTCCCTTGTAGAACTTCTTTGGTTGTCTGTTTTGATTGTAGTGAGATACATTTCTTATAATTTCATATCGACATCTTTATATAAAAACTGTGCCATACCCCAGGATCTTCAATAAGAGTCACAACTCTTCCAGGCTGGAAAAAAATTTCAAAAATAGTTCTTAAAAAAATTAAATACTTAACTGAGCAATAGTATCAACCTATAGCTAAAATAGAATCACTGTATGCCAAGTTAATACAATCACATTTCAGCAAAGGACTTAGTTTTCATATGTTGTAATCTACAGTGGATTGAATCAGAAAATCTACTGCTTTGTTTTCTGAAAGATAATTTCAGTTAATTTACATTGGATGTATTTTATACGAATTTAAGTTAAAAACAAGACAATACACGGACAGCTGGAGACTACACTAAAATTAAAGGCAGTGAGGCAAACTGCAAGTAAAATCAAATATCTGGTCACTTTCTTGTTACATGAGTAAAAGTATGACATTCCTGGGTACCATTCTGTAGGGAGCACCAACAGAACAGAGGGAGCTCCTGCTAGAGAACTAGGTGGCCAGTACTTCTCAGTGGTTATGAGCTAGTCTGTTCATAAGACCTGACAGTTATATATCCCAGTTTTCAGATTTATAAAGCATTTTACACACATTATCTTATTTGATCCTCACTGTCAGGGAGGTGACTGAAGGTATTATCCTACTCATTTTATGGCTAGTGTTTGTCAGAGGTTAAGACTTGAATCTCTAAGTCTTCCTTGACACCAAGCTGGCCTGGCCCTCTTTCTACTACATCATTTTGTTTCTCAAAAATGTAACTCAATTTAACATTTAAAAAATAACTATTCTAAATATTGCTAGTTTTCTGTTATGCCACCTTCATTAATAAAAATTCTGATTTTTAATAAGTACTCAGACATGTGGTTTCTTTGATAGAGTTTACTTAGTGTTTTGGAAATACTTAAAAAAAGCTCATTACATTATTTCCCAGATGAATTCCCTAATTGATGTTGATTATTTTAAAATCAGCATTGACTTATATTATTTTTCAATACTGTATGGGATAGGGTGATACAGAGCCAGTGACGATAGAATTTGACTTGGAGTTGGGAAGACCTGAGTTTAAGTCTTACAACTGACATGATGGCAGTGTGACCTGGGCAAATCACTATAACCTATTAATGTATATGGAACTCTCTAACACTAGAAGATCACAGATTTTGAGAGTCAGAAAGGGGCCTTAGTAGCCATTTAATCCAACCCACACATATAATTGCCACCATAACATACTGTTGTTGCCCAGTTTCTGCTTAATAACCTTTAGAGAGGGGGATCCCTCCATCTCTTCACATGTGTCACTAACTAGAATAGAGGCAGACATGAGTGTTATATCCAGAGAATAGCCAGAAAACCAGTCATCCCAGTTTTTAAGACTTTGCTCTCTCCTGGTTCTCCTCCTATTTTACCAAGGCTTAGTTTCCCTTGGTTGATCTTCATTCATGTCCCATCCTCAACCACTAGGTGTCCCCTAAAGCTTTGTCTTGGGCCCTGTTCTCTTGAAGATGTAGGATTAAGAGTTCAATTTTCAATATGTAGATGGCTTTCAGATCCAGGCTTATTCACTTTCAAGTTTTAGTTCTAAATACCTACTTTTCTTTTGGGCATCAACAACTGGATTTCCAAAGATATCAAACTCAATCTGTTGTAAATGGAGTTCACTGTTTTCCCTCCCTAAACCAATTCCTCCCTCAAACCTCTCTATTTCTTTTTGAGGGCATGTCTACCATTTTTTTTTTTTGTCCTCCAGGTTCACAACCTTAAGAAATATCCTCAACTAGTAGACACTACTTCCACAACATCTTTCATATTCTATTCTCCTCATTCACATCAATTAATATTTATTAAGCCATCTACTATGTGCGAGGCATTTGTGCTAAAGATACAAAAAGATGCAAAAGATAGCCCCTTCCCTCAAGAAGCTTACAATCTGATGGCACCTATGTAGTTCAGGTATTCATCAGCTTTTGCCTGGACTACTGCAACAACCTCCTAATTGGAATTTTGTCATTTAGTCTTTCCTCTTTCCATTATTATCTTCTACATGGCTGCCAAAGTTATCTTTCTCAAATAAAAGTCTGACCACGTCACTCAGTTGCCCATGATTTAGTGACTCACTGTTACTTCTGGGATAAAATACAAAAACCTCTGGCATTAAAAACCCTTCACAATAATGACTTTAGTCTATTTTTTCAAACTTTTTTGCACTTTTCCTACCTTCGCTGTCAAAATGGTCTGTTTGCTTTTCCATCTTCCACTTCTAGAATCTAAATAACTTGGGGGCAGGGATTGATTGATTTTTAATCGAATGCACTGCGGGTAGCACTTGGTCTGGCTCATAATCTTTTAATAAATGATTGATTTACTGAATTTGTACAGGCTGTTGTTTTTGGTTAGAATTCACTCCTTCATTTCTGTCTCTTAAAAACCTTAGATTCTTTCAAGGTTCAACTCAAATGCTTCCCGTGGGAAGCTTTTTTATCCCTCTAGTTGTTAGTGCTCTCTCCTTCCCCCAACACTTTAAGGTTTTAAAAAAAAGTTATCCTCACACATCAGGTTGAAAATGTTCTCCCTGTTATTCAGGTGAACAACTTCTGAACCATGCCTAAAGTAGCCAGATCTAGGCTTGGATTAGGTCAAGACAGGGCCTAAAGAAGTTAAATGGCTTGCCCAAGGTAACTGATATGTATCCGAGCCTAGATTAGAATCCAAGTCATGACTCCAAATCAGTTGTTCCTTCCACTACACCTTTAATAATAAATGACCAAATTAATCATGCTAAACAGTTTTGAAAGAGGTATAAGGTGAGGATCATAGATTTAAAGAGAGAAGGTACCTTAAGGATCATCTAGTCAGTTCTTTCACTTTAAAGTAGAGGAAGCTGATGCCCATTTAAAAACTGGTCTAAATCCAATTACATTCTGATAGATTCATCACCTGAGGGTTGGCTACTAAGTGACCTATTTTTTTTTAGCCACAGCACCTCAAGAGGATTCATTAAGGTATCCATGAATCACGTTTAAAGTACTGCAGTATAGAACTAATACCTTTAAAAATAATTTTCCTTTGTAAACTGAAAAGGGATCATTTAAAACTAGGTTAAATTGGCTGGAACCTAGTGGCTTTGCAAAACCTGTCAAGGAGTCAATTTTTATTGTTTGACAAAAAAGAATTCTGAGTATTCATAATAGGAATAGAAAAGCTAATCAGCAAATACATCCTGCATATTAATTCCCTTCCTTGTTTTGATATTGTGTAAAAATGGATAAAAATTTTTTCTACTATTTTGGTTTATTAAAATTTGTCCCTAATTTGTAATTTTTTTCTATAACTTCTTGATGCCAATACCAACTTCATTTTACAAGATTAATAAAGTATAATAGTGCTAGCTAATATGCTAGTGAAAACTAGTATATCATATGCCTTTTACTATATATGTATATGTACATATATAATTTGATAAACTTGTTTTCCTCTAAGATGTTTTTGTTTTTCCTAGGGAAAAACAATTTAAGGGATCATTTCAAAATTGATTTAAATGTGGAAAGCTTAAATGTTAAGTAGTTTTGCCTAATTTTCAAAATCAATATTTGTTCCCTGAAATTTCTGTTCGTCTATGATATTTGCACTGGCTCCACCATTCAAATACTATCTCATTTCTAATTTTTAACCCCTCCCTGGGCATCTCAACCTAAGACAGTAACACCTCATTAAATTTTAGGTGGAGATCAGTCTGCTTTTGATCAACTTTTTGATGTCTTAATTCTGCCTCCCCACTTCTGATCTGGTATAAAATGGCTTTTTCCACTTTCAAGTCCTACAGCTGAAGATTAGTGTGAAGAGCTAGGTTTGAATCCTGTCTCTGACACTTAATAGCGATTGATCATAAACAAATCAGTAAACTTGGGGGATAAAAAATTGGTGACAATACTCATGTTGTGAGGATCAAAAGAGGTAATGTTTGTAAATTTTGTAAACTTTAAAACTCTAAACAAGTGTTAGCTACTGCTATTATTCTGGGTTAGAGCCTTATGATTTTTTCCCCCTCCCATATATCGATCTATCTATATATCCTTTAAAAAAAAAAACCAAACCCTTTCTGTCCCTTTTGTTGTCTCATTAATCCAGTAGATTTAAAAAACAAAACTAAACTCTGGGCAATGGTTCTCTGTTTCAGTATCTGAAAGGTGAATTCGAAAACAATGATCTCTATCTAGGTTGAAATCCTAGCTCTGACCCTTAAGCTTTATGACTGGATAAGTCACTTCACCCTTCTGAGACTAAATTTCCTCATCTGCAAAATGAGGATGACAATTGTCCTACTTACTTCATGTTTGTGAGGAATGTATTTTGTCAAAAGTAAACAATTAAATTTGAGTAACTTATTTTAAGAAAAGTTTCATCGATCTACACAATATCAATATTTAAAAGAATAAAAGGGATCATCAAATTCAGATGATTGTGTTTTCAAAACTTTATTTTCTTCAAGAATAAAGGATGTAAAACAAACATTTAAGGCAATACAAGGTTGGTTTAGGTAAGCCATGGATTGTTAACTCTGTGTATGTTTTATGTATACAAATGAATGCCTATGAAAGAGGATGGTAATAGTTGAGAGGAAGATAAAGAAAAAGTCAAGGAAGCAAAACTTCCTTAATTTAGGATTAGTAAGAAAGTAACAGAAGAATACACTTTGGTTAATGGTGATATCACATTTATCATTACCAAGTGCATTCAGGAAACAGCAGTTCAGTTGTGATAACAAAATTGCCTTCCTTTTGATCACTCAGTCTAAGTAACTTGAGTACCATGAAAAGAGTTTGGAAAGGTTAATGATTTGTTATAACATCATATATGTGTGTATATATGTGTATATGTGTGTATATATATACATACATACAAATATATACACACATACATATATAAATCCAAACTAGTACTGGTTTTAATAGCCGAATATAGAAATTTCCAGGCATTTAATTCCTGGAAAGCAAATTGCAGTCAAGGTGATTTCAGTGCTGCTTGATTAAGACAAATGAATCTACCTATTTCTCCGGTTTGGTGTTTGTGACTTGATCCCACGAAACCTTGTCTTAAGCACCAAACCCATGTAGTGGGGGCCTCTTCCAAGCTATAAACCTACAAATTTTGCCTCTGCAATAGCGATTTCTTCAGAAGTGAGCAGTACGCCCAGATGACAGCCAACATTCCTGGTTTTCTCCTTAATGCATTTTGGGGGTAGTTAGTGCTAGGGGTGGTTGAGGAGGATAGAGACAAGACTGAGTAGGGAATAACTTTGTCTAGGCGTCCCTGAAGCCTTAACGGTGGAGGATGGGGGTGGGGTGTGCTATGGTGGGGTGGTGTCGGGGTCGCTAGGGGAGAGCCGGGGCCCCTGGTGGGAAGGGACGGCAGCGGAGGTCGGGGCTGGTTTCTCACCTTGCCAGGGATCCCGCGGTGGTCGGTGCTGCCCTGCCAGAAGCGCCGGCTGTAGCCTGTGATGGACCCGACCAGTCTGTCCTGATAGGGGAAATCCACCTTCCAAATGAGGGAACCATAGCCGAAAACCCACATTCTCCTTCACAGCCTCTTCCTGATCCAACAGTCTGAGCCTTTGGTTTCAGAGCCGCAACTAACCGGCTCTTCCCTGCGCAGGC